AGGGATATTCTTTAACAGGCACAAAGAGTTTCTCTTGGAGCTGAACGATGGGGCCGACGGCGTCCGGGAGCTCGGAGCATCTCTTCTCCGTGCTGCCGTTTAAAGTGTCATTGTACATGTCCTTTCGTACCCTGCTGATCTCTGAAATAAAGAGAAACACATGCACCATGAGTTAACTACATCAATCAGGATACAGACTAGGCAAGAACAGGATTTTACCTATAGTGACAGGCTATATGCTACATTTCCTTTACCGATGGATTATATGCACTTTAATATGGCAGTAGAAGAGCGCAAATGCTCCTTAAACACTGCTCTTAAACCTAATGAACCATTCAGTATGTTACAGCATCTACAGTCACACAGCATGATTTAACTGAGTAGAGCATGATCCTAGATTAACAGTTTTGTTGTCTGACAATATGGTAATAAAACAGTTTAGGGTAGCACAATTACATAATTAAAACAATTGTGTGATTATTAATCATTAAATACACTCAGTGTGGGCCTCATGATTCAGTGTTTTCAGTGTTTTCAGGAGTCTCAGAGAAAATGTATGTATTTATTGATTTATTTTTTACAAAGTGCATTGTGAATGCAAAGCAATTCAGGTTCACAATATTTTCACATTCCAAATGTTTTTGGCAGTTACGAGTTACAGTATTACACAAAACCAATACTGAAACACAGAAAAAGGGTCTCATAAAAGGCCCTTCTAACCAAATTTAAGAATGCTATTTGAAAGTAAAGCTGTTATGACAAGAAATATATTACTATTGCATACTGAAATTAAATTTTATTTACACTGCCATTCAAAAGTTTAAGGTTGGCAAGTTTTTTTTTAAGCTGCATTTTTTGTTTATAAAAAATGCAGTAAAACTGTAATATGAAATATTATTATAATATATAATGCAATAACTTTTATATTTATATATTTTATTTATTTATATATTTATAATTTAATCTTACCATTTATATATTTTATATATTTTAATACAGTTTAACATTTTATTTACTTCTGTGATGCTAAGCTGAATTTTCAGAATCATTTCTCCAGTCTTCAATGTCACATGATCCTTCAGAAATAATTCTAATATGCTGATTTGCAGCTCAAGATTTTTTTTCTTATTTTTGTCAATGTTTCCTTCAGGGCTCCTTGATGCAGTTTATAAAGTAAAAAAAAAACAGCATTCATTAATTTGTTCGTTCGTTCGTTCGTTCGTTCGTTCGTTCGTTCGTTCGTTCGTTCATTCATTCATTTTTTTGTAACAATGTAAACATCTTTACTGTCACTTTTGATCAATTTAATATGTCCTTGCTAAATAAATTAAGAGTTTGGTTCCAAAAAGCTATAAATCCATTTTGATTAATTTGAGTAAAAATGTGTTTTCTTAGGTTATAATAACATTAAAAATTCAAATCCAGATTTTGATTTTCAAAGATTTATTATAAAATTGTATTATTTTTTCCCCAAAATGCAATTAATCCATGACACGTTTTTTTTTTTTTTCATTGAATCAATATAAAAGTTATTTTTCATATTGAAACTGTTGAAAATACACAACATAGTAAATTGAGCCACATATGACAGGCTCTGAACTTGGTCAATACTAATCTTATATACACAGGCACGTGCACACATAGACATCAAAGGGGGCTTGAGCACCTGCCCTTTTTCTTCCTCGAGAGAAAGTGCCCTTTTTTCTGGGGAGTGTTTTTTTTTTTTTTCTTTTTTTAAATAAATGAATATATGTATATATGTGTGTGTGTGTTTCTGTTTGCGCACAGCTTTCCCTGTCAAACAAATAAAACATCAAAATATCAGGTTGGGTCGGGAAATGTTGAGGCTTTCTCCTCCGTAGCACAGCAGTGTAGCACACATTAATCGGCACATGCACATCACAGACAGGCAGAGAGCCGCAGAAGTGAAGCCCTCCCTCCTTTTCCAGTTGTGTTTGTCTCGGTGTGGAGGTGAGTGGTGATGAACAACAGACTAAGCTATCTGTGCCTCGAATTTACAGCTAATTATCCAAAAGACAAAAGGCCATTACCATTACAATAATATTATATCAAAATAACTTGACATGGTTCAAAAACCAAAAAATGTGAACAAAATGTGTTGGTTCTTTGGTTCTTTTAAAGAGAACTCAAGTATGAACACTTTCAAAGAGTAACTGTTTCTATGAGCAGCAGAGTATAAGCCGAACATGACTTAATGTGGAGACAAGTGACATGCTAGTTTGTCGCTTTCACCAGACCATGTTGAACATGAGAGCTCCTGCTTTAACCATCATATTTAAGCAGTAGCAGTTTTTTATTACAATTCAAATCACAATATTTGTCAAAATAATATTTGCCAATATTTGACTAAATCGCACAGCTTTAAATCAAATTTTAGCTTTAGACCACCCACATAAGAACCGCAGTATAAAGAGACTCCAGACTCCAGGCTGACATCAGTTTGGCCAGCATTAGTCTCAGCTCAGAATGGACAGTTAGTACATTTGAACAAGACAAGCAAAGAACACCTCTGCCAGAACAGAGAAAAGGAAAGTGACAAGACGTGGGCTAAGAGAGCTTTCTTTGTCTTTGAACAGCTGTAAAACCACAAAAGATCTTTCTAAGAGGATATGACTACCTTCTGAATAACCTCAGGAGACATATATATCCATTTTGTCTGGAGGCCCTGGTGAGAACTGCCTCTCAACAGCAACCAGCTTTGCTCTTTTTCCAATATACCATAGAGCCGCAGAAGAGTATTTCTAAAGTCAAAAAAGTAAATGGCTCTTTCTGCTATTGTTGATTAATCATAAAGAAAGTTCTGGTGACAGGTGACATGTCAGACCACAGACGTCAACCTGCTGTACAAATGGTTTACTTACAGTCATCTCTGCAAATTAAACCGCGATAACAGAAACTATTTAAAGATGAAAAAATACACACTGAACTCCTGTTGTTCAATACACACTGAAATCCTGTCCTGTTGAGGTTTACTGCAGGAGTACGAGGGAAGACGGAGAACAGGTAATCACTGCTATTACATGTGATCTGTCACTTAATAAAGTGAGTAATAACTGTCCTTTTTTGATAACTTCTTCTATTATTTCTGAGGAAAAAACAAGGATGAGGAACAGGAGAGAGAGAGAGAGAGAGAGAGAGAGAGAGGCAGTGAGTTAGAGAGGAAGTGAGGGCTCTAATATGGTGGGAAAGACAATTAAAACAACCAAGTCTGTTAATATTTCATATAAGACATTAAATATCCCAGTCCCAAGCTGCTGCCACTGTTGTGTAATTCTATTACTGGATGA